GAGTGTGGAAATTAATCCCTGATTTTGGGGGGGGGGGAAGAGCCAAATTTGGAAAGGGACTGATTAGTTCCATAACAGTTTAATGGGGGGGGCAGAATGCACCCTTGCTTCACACTATTTTACGTGGGGATTGGTGCTGTTGAAGCATCACTGACGTCACATTTAATCTGCACAGAAGTGTCCTTGGGTAACACTGTAATTAGCTGCAGAAGCCAGCAGTCAGTAGAGGAGACAGTTTTTGCCATAGCTGCTCTCAGGGGGATCAAATAAAAAACTGCCTTCAAGTCAATAAAGGCAGCATAAAAGTTCCCTCTGGGGAGAGGCTTGGCTATTTTTTTGAGCAAAGTGTGGCAGAGTGATGCCTTCATTAAATATTAAAAAGTTGGGGTGTTCTACAGCTAAGACCTTTCCTTGGATCTGGCAACGCATCTGCTTTGTGTACTGATGCCCAGCATATATTTTCCTTATTATGCTGAGCAATGTAAGTGTGCGATAATTGCCTGGATTAGACTGTCCCCCTCTTTAAAAATCAGAACTCTTGATATGCATTGGCTCATCACAAAGACCACAGTTACAAAGATGCACGATTGAACATAAAAATTAAATGAGCAGCAAATATCCTTACCTGCCTGAGCAGCTGTAATTAGAGCTGTGTTCCCTTCATTGTCCTGCCAGTTTACATCAATGTGAGGACATTGTGCTAAGGCTACGACAACATCCACGTACCCTTGGTAACAGGCAACAATAAGCCCAGTCTATAAATAAATAATAATAAAAAGGTGAGAGTTAAGGGGAAGTAAGTGCATAACCTCTGAATTTACATCATGTCAAATATTATTTATTTGAAATTCTGTGAGGACATTAATATTATAAATTACTTTTCTTTGTAAATTATCTTATTTCACACCTGCTTTTCCTCTTCATGGAAGCTAACAATAATAAACCAGCATTCAATTGCATAAAATAAGTAGAAACACTTCATTAAAGTAATACAAAATAATACACCAGAACAGAACATACAACAATGGTAGTCAATACCAGAAATACCAGAATGGAGACTGGTAAATGTTTACTTCAGACATGCCTGTCTAAATAATTTTTTTTTAAAACTGATCTAAAGAACTGTTTTTTTTTTCAGTGTAGTAATTTGTGGAGGGGGAAGCCATATAAATTGAAAACTTGTAAAATCAGTCATGCAATAAAAATGGGGAACTTTAAATGCAGCAAAAAAAAGAAACTGGTAAAAGCCCCCATTTATTTTCCTGCTTCTGAAATGGAGGTGGAGATGAATTGGTTTACTTACTTTCTCTCCAATGGGAGGGGGGAAATTAAAATATTAAGTCAGAGGGTTTTTAAAAAGCCATTTCTACCTTCCAGTGTGGTTTGAACTGCTCAGCTATGGATTTTCTCTCAACATCTCCCTCTTGGGATTTTTTGAGTTTTTTTGAGTTTTTAGATTAGTACTTTCCCATATTTATTTGTAGACTGCTATTTGAGATTATGTATTACATTTTAACACTATGTGTAATAACATACTGCAAATGTAGGTGAATACTTCTCTTATACCCTCTAAATCAGGTTATAACGTTTAAGTCCTAAATGAGATAAAGCGCAAAATGATGAGAAATCTTCCTATGTGCTCTCCTGAAATGAATGGAAGCTGCATAAAATACTTATTCCCGTGGATTATCCCTGAAGAGTACAGTAATAATGCTTTAGAGTGGTCCTGTTATTTCCTGAATAAACATGGACACCCACGTGGAAAAAGGTCTTGAAAAAGCCATTGTACTGTTCCCTCTGTCACACATTAGCGACAATAGGAGATAGATAAATGTGCTGAAAGTGAGAAGATACACTGTAATTTTTCAAACTCTGAAACATTTCAATTCTATGCAAAAAATGTTATATAGGATTAAAGAAAAATATGCTAGGTAAGTCTCTGCTTTGACATGTGGCCATACTCTTTTATTAATACAGTGGTACCTCGGGATACGAACGCCTCTACTAACGAACTTTTCGGGTTACGACCAGCTCCGGCCGCAAAAATTTACCTCGATGTGCGA